GAGCAGCGGGGGGCCAGGACCAGCTGGCCCGGCCTGGCCTGCATGCCCTGCCTGGGAGAAATGCGGACAGGAGGGGTCCAGGCTCCACTGCTGCATGCCCGCAGCCTGGCTGCCCTTCCTGGGCCACACCCTCACTCACAGGGACAGGTCAAGGCCAAGCATGTCAGGGACTAGAGGCCGCACACCGGGAGAGCCTCTGGGACACACGAAACCCAGCTCAGGAGAGGAGCAGAGGGGCTGCAGGGCCCGGCCAGGCGGGGGGTAGCGCAGCTGTGAGCCCACATTCTGCAAGGCAGACCCACATGGGAGGGCTCGGGTTCGTGTCACAGGGCTCCCTGGGCACACGGGACATACCTGTGCCTGTGATCTGGGCTGGCTGAGGAGCTGGTGGGTCAGGGATCGAAACCCTGTTGGGAGTGCTGTCTGTCTGTCTCTCTCACAGTATTAAATAAGCAAAACTTAAAAAAAAAAATGATAGTAGGCAGACCACCATCCAGACCACCATCAGGCTGGGGTGAGGCGGGGCGGGGCGCGGCCTCACCGTGGTCGAAGTCGATGTACTTGGTGAGCTTGTGCCAGGTGCGGTAGTAGAAGTGGCGCACCTGCTCCTTGTTCTTCACCATGCTCGCCGGCTTGCCTTTCTTCTTGTACTTCAGGGCGATGTTGTTCTGAATCGCTTCAAAGTCCTTGCCGTGCTGGAAAATGAAGCCCAGGGTAAAGAGCGGGCCTGAGAACCACGCACTTCCCTGTGGACGAGACCCAGGAAAGGAAGGGCCTGCCTGTGGGCACGCGGGCCGTGCCCGGCTCCCACTGAGTGTGAGGGTTAGCTTGGCTTCCCTTGGGCTACAGGCTTTTGGTTTTGTTTTTCAAAATTTGCCAGACGGTGTATTTGTTTACTAGGGAAAAAGACAGAAATAGAGAGAGAGAAAGTCCCCCAAGGCACCCGGTCATGCTGCAATCCCCTCTCCTCTCTCAGCCCCTCCTTTCAGAATTTGACAGGCACACACATCTGGCATGGTTTTTTTTTTTTTTTTTTTTTTTGGAGAGGTTTTTGCTATAGGGCGCGTGCGCTCGCCAGACAGAGAGAGACAGAGAGACAGAAAGCGAGAAATCACCCCCCAGGGCGGATGGTCACGCCGCAATCCCTTCTCCTCCATTCTCCTCCCGGGATCTTGGGCACACACACACGCGCGCCTGGCGTGAGTTTTAAACCACTGGGTCCGGGACGCAAACCACGGTAGACTACGTGGGAGTCCAGCGACATAGCCATTACGCCAACTGCTGGTTCCCATCACCTGGCATGGTTTTGAAGCCACTGGGTCCCAGACTTGAACCATGTGGTCAGTTGTGGGGGATCCAGCTGCCTGACCCAGCAGGCAGGTCACAGGCTTTAACCAGGACAAAGCAGCATGCGAACCCCGGGGATGGCTACTGTAGCCTGCACACAGAGGCAGGGCCTGGGGACACATGGTGACCTCTGAGCCCTGCAGCCCCACAAAGAGCATCGGTGGCAGGCAGGTGGCACAGGTGGCTGGGTGCTGGGTCTCTGCAGGTGCTGGGTCTCTGCAGGCTACAGTTTGAGCCCCCGCCCTGGGTTCGCTTTCTCTGTCTCTCTCTGGTTAAACTGAAAAATAATGATAATGAACAAAACTAAAATAATTCTTAAAAAAAAAAAAAAAAGAAAAGAAGACACCGGAAATGGAGACCACGGTGTCAGGGTGCAGGGCTCAGGTTGCTGCCTACTTGGCTCCTAAATTAAAAGGCCAGGGCCAACCGTGTGGCGCTGCAGGCAAGTGCTGCTCAAGAAAAGCAGGACCGAGGGGCGGCCAGCTGCGGATTGAACCCCCAGCCCGGCTGGCCTGAAACATGCTGGGTCTGGATGTGCGTGCCCAAGGCCTGAGCGCTGGGGGACTGGTAGGAAGGGGCCGTGGCAAGGTGACCGGGGAAGACACTTAGCTCTCACTTGGCGTGCACCCCTCGACTGCAAAGAAGGAAAACAAAGGGAATGTAAAAGACAGCTATTCAGAGAACTCTCACGGCTTTGATCGCATAGAACGTAGTGCGTACTGAAGTAGGCAGAGCAGATCATAGCTTAAAAAGTAATTACGTGGGACCAGCAGTTAGCGTAATGGCCATGTCGCTAGACTCCCATGTAGTTGATTGCGGTTCGAGTCCCAGACCTGGTGGCTTAAACTCACGCCGGGCGCATGTGCGTGCATGCCCAAGATCCCGAGAGGAGAATGGAGGAGATCCACTCCCCTGGGGAGTGATTTCTCACTTTCTGTCTCTCTGTCTCTGTCTGTCTGGCAAGCGCATGAGCCCTATAGCAAACCCCCCCAAATAAATAAATAAATAAATAAATACGTATATAACTTCATTATCATTCTTTAATTTACCAGAGAGAGACAGTGACAGAGAGAAAGCGAGAAAGTAAGCCACCAAGTCTGGCACGCTAGCCGGGGCCAGTCACATGGGAACCGCACCTCAGCCACGCACCTGCTGGCCCTGCAAATAGGAGCTTCTAGGAAAAGCCCTGCAGGGTGCACTGGCAATCCCCGCGGCCGGCCCTTTCCATGCAGGGCTGAGCAGGGCAGGCTCTACAACAGAGCGTGTGTCCCCGAACACTGCCAGTGCAGCCCTGCACACCGCCAGGCAGAGGCCGACCGCTTGGTAATCCACGCCAGGGTGGGGCAAGGAGGCAGCGCCGCAGAGCGGCGAGCACCGCAGTACCCAGGTCTGGTGTCTAAGTCCCACTTGGCAAAGGGAACCAGGGCTGGGGCGGGAGGAGTGAGTCTGGCCCCCAGCAGTCACGCTGATGCCATCTGGGCACTTAGTGGTTATGACCCAGAGAACAAAGTCCCATGAGCCCACACGTAGAAGTGAATGCCCGACTGAGTACACCTGTGGGGAGCGTGGGCTCCCCACCAGTAACTGGAGAGGACAGCAGCAAAGAGGGCTGTCCCCAGGCTTCGGAGAGAAGCAGCAACAGTCGCTGAACTCAGTGGGAAAAGGAGTGAGAGGTATCCGCGGTGTCCACGCGGAGCCACAAGCGGGAGGACAGAAATGGCAGCTGCTACAGGAAGCAGCAGCCCAGCTGACGGCACCCGGGGAGACAGGCCACAGTAGCGCCTCCAGCCTGACGCACTGACTGGGGGGGATATGCCGAGGCGTTGCAGCCTCTGCCTGCATGCAGGTCGGGGTCCAGACCTGGGAGTCAGCAGCACCAGCCAACCCTGAGCCAGGCCTGAGGGGGCAGACGGGCTGCCGCTACCGCTGAGTCCGCCACCCCACACTGTGGGTGCAGAGCCGGGGAAGCAGGGCGAAGGGCTCGTGGGAATTCTGCTCTTAACTCTGGCATCATTTCAGATGAAAAGCCAAACAATAAAACCAAAAACTAATGGCAGGTGAAGTATGGAAAGGTGCAGTTGTGTCCAGCGGCCCCAACAGTGTCCTGCCCGAGGCCACCCCCTTCCTGACGCCAGCCTCAGGCTTCAACGAGATCTGTGATGGGGACGGGGTGGGCAGCCCGAAACCTCAGAACCTGGGAGCAGCTGGGCCGAGACCTCACCACTGGGGGCCAGCGTCTGGGAGCCCTGACTCCAATCCCAAGCCTTCTGAACCCCTCTTGCCATCCGACTTCCTGTGGACCTCACTGTGTCCCCAGCGAGGCCGGAGGGCCAGCGAGCAGGGCCTCACGTTCTAGCCCCACCAGAGCACTCTGGGCTCAGTCATGAACTGGAAGACAAGAGCCACAGGGAACAGGTGGGCTGCAGACGGGACCGCTCAGCGGTGCAGACACTCGCAGCACGTCTGTAGACGCCGGGGCGGCAGGCTCACCACTGAGCGAGGGCAGGGGTCAGCCACGCGGCCGGGGCTGGAAAACGAGCGCCGCAGGCAGAGAGGACATAGCAGAAGCTGGACTGATGGGCGCGAGGGGAAGGGGAGTCAGCAGTGGGCTTTGCACAGAAGGACCCCAAGCGGCAGAGGCAGGGAGGAAGCCCAGAGAGCCCCTGACTCACCTGCCATGCCATCCTGCTCCTCACCAGTCGGCTGTGCGGGCCAACCCCCCACAGCATCTGGTGCGGAGATCAGGCAAGAGCTCCAGGAGCCACTGGAGGAGTCCCATGCCCGGCTGCTCCCAGCAGCCCTCCCGGGTCTCGACG